TAAATTTTATCTACGAATAATTAAATTCATGTGAAAATATGTATTGGAAAGGGAAATTGAAACAAAATAATAACTAGAAAATAATAGACGCATTATAATTATTTTAGATTATTTATTTAATAAAAATTTATTGATTTTGTATTAATTGTACAGATTTTATATAACGTTAGTTTGAAATCATCTTTGCTGCATTTGAAATACATTTATGTAATATATTTTGATTTATGCGTACAGCTACATCGATAATTGTTTCAATAAGTTTCGTCAACTTTATAAAAACAAAATTCGTGTTTATTTAAATTATATTAATATAAATTGATATAAATTTAATAATTTAATTTTAATATACTGTTATTTGATTTAATATAACTTAAATTAATAATAATTTAGCGTATTAAAAAATTATATAATTTTATTAAAAACAATTTTTATTTATATTTATTAATTAATGAAGCTCCACATAAGTTGCATATTTCAGCATTACTTATGAATAACTATAATAGTTTACTATTTTAAATTCAAATTTATGGCAGGACCATACCAAGTAATCCATGAATAACGAGAAGCTTAACTTTATCAAAGAGAGACAATCTATCGAAAATCTTGAATTTGATTCAATGTTAATAAAAATTATACACATGCTTGGATTTCAATTTTAAAGTATAAATATTCAAGATAATATATTAATTTGAATAAAATTGTAGTAAACACGCATAATCTATTCGTTGATTCATTTCTGTTCGCACGGCTGTACGATTAAAATTAAACCGAACAATATATTCAGAAACCTAAGCCAAATCCTATGTCATTATGTCTTTAATTTTAACTCCTGATGTCTAATAAAAAAATATAGTCAAGTATACATTCTTGCACATTACATTAAGGAATTTAGAATTATATTTTTGTATCAATATGAAGATAATTATATGTTGAGGCATTGCAAGAGCGCTAATGTATTGAAAAATCAAACACAAGAAAAGCCCCATTTATCAGTTAAAATAGAGAGCCAATCAGGAGAAAAATAAAACGAAGAAAAATAAATGAAAATCGCTTCTGTACACTGTATGAAGATAGATAAAATTAACATAACCTCGGCGAATTCGCAAAGTTCTTAGAAAAAGCGGCCAATATACTTAAAACTCTATAAAGGAAGTGTTTCTATCTCCCTTTCATTCATTCTTCTTTATTTCTATATACAGTCGCGCTACAATCTCGTTGTCGAACTTTTCTCCATTCAATAACGGACTTTAATGCAGTCGCCGAGATTTCAAACAGTCATTACCTCAACTAGAAGAAAGCGAGAGAATGAAACGCGCGCCGGTTAAAAGGGGATAAAAAACGAGGAAGAAGAAAAGTAGTGAAAGAAACAAAGGAAAGGCGGCTATACCTCGTGCCCAAGCCTGGAAGAAAATTGAATACGTGTGATATAAAGTGCGCTTGCATGAGAAAAAGAGACAGAATAGGGTGAGATGGTCTGAAGACTCGAAAGATGTGTGTATTCATGTAAAGTAATGTTGGTGAAAAGGGTTGAACGAAGAGGGAATGTACTCGCTACCTTGGATGAATCGAGAATTCCGATGATGATTATGAGGACGACAACAGTGACAACGGCGACTATAATATAATGGTAACAGCGTCTGTAAGAGAATTAAACTATTTTTATATATTAGTCATTCCTTATCAAGCTGTCAGTATGATTTTTTTTTCCTTTTTGTAATTGAGTTTTAGAAATAAAAATTCTTAAGCCAATAACAATATATGTTATTATTTATTTGAAAAAAAATTGTCATTCAAATAAATTTAACTATGTATTCATATTTTCATACATAAGTATAAGTTTCTTAGGTTAGTTACATTTAATTTTTGCATTTTCTGAAAACTATAATATTTAATTAATACAAGTAAACCTAATAATGTAAATCTAATATAATTTCAAGACGAAAAGGTTATAAGTCAATAATTATTGTCACCCAACTAGTGGCAGAGATTCATAAAATCTTTATTATCATCTTAATTTAAAAAATTAAAACAACATATATTAAATTTCATTAATTTTGTTAGTACGTTTTTTCTTTGTTACCTTGTAAATTCAATCAGAAATTAAAACATTTTATTTGGATATTAAAATACAGAAATATAAATACAATAATTTTTCAGAATTTTGTATTTAATAATTCTGAAATTATAAATTCTTGTTCTAATATCGATACTTTTCTTTGTGTGACATTTTAATATTAAGTACCCAATGATTATGCTTTGAGTATATCAGGTATTCAGTTTCAAGTATTATTTTATTTTATCGGATCGTAAAGTCCTGTTTAATTTCTAATAAATTATTATTACATAAAATTGATATTAATACTATATACGGATTCTTGAGTGTACAATGTCAGAATTTAAAGTACAAAAATATAATTTCTTTCATTTGCAAAGCTGGTTTTACGATAAATAGTCTAACATACCTTAAATACTTTAAATAAATTAATGGAGCTGTCTAATATTATTTAAAATAAATTATTTTTCTATATTAACTTGTATGTAAAAAGGAATACTTTACTAAGACCACAAATTCATAGTTAAATTATTTAAACTATTCTTTAACTCTTAAGTTTAACAGTTAAGTTCTCAAGGTGGATATATGATAGATTAAAGCTCTTTTCATTTTCGAAAGTTGTTGCTAATATTCTCTATTTAATTTGGTCGCATTTTATCTGCAAGAGAAATCTCGAATAATTTCGAAAATTGACAGATAATGAAGCAATATTCAATATGGTACAATTTTTTAATTTGTCATTCATAAATTTCATTAAAGAGAATGCCAATTTTTATGTGATATTTATTACTAAGCACCTTACATTATTAAATAGAAATAACATTGCAGAATAATATGAAAAGATAATTATTGATATATTTCATCGTTAGTTAATATATGATTTTTTTATATCAATATTTGATATTAATTAAGTACAATGTTATAAATTTCACTTTTGTATATAGAATTTAGTTAATAGCAAGAAATCTTAAAATACTGGCTTTGAAATTCTTTTCCGGTACATTCTGGTCTTACTCCTACACTTACTCCATTCTCTCTCTCTCTCTCTCTCTCTCTCCCTCTCTATCTATCTATCTATCTATCCCTTGTACTTATATTTGTTTTTCCTTTACTTCCTTTCAATAACTTTCTTCCGAATATTTTTATTGTTTTTTATTTATGCAACAAATTATTATAAGCGCTAAAATTCTTTAACATGGCATAAATGGAAAGTTTTTTAAGTAATAGACAAAAATGAAAGACAACGTTTTGTGAATTGCGAAATTGAAAATGAAGCGAAGCGACCTTATTTAAGAAGTAGTGAATAAAAAGAATAAAAATATAGAGATGTAGTGAGAGATGTAGCGTGAGTGAGAGAGGGGGGGGGGCAAAAGAAAATTAAATGTGTGTTAGAAGAGATAAAAGCAGAAATGCTTATGTAAGTGTTTAGAGAATTCTGAGCGTTCTTACATTTAGGAGACTATTTTCACAAATTTAAAGACTCCACTACTCATGCAGACACAAAAACTGACTATGCCCTTTTCTAATTTACCCTTTAAGTAAAATAAAAATATGTAAATGGAATGAGTGGAATGTAATTATCACAAAGTCTTGAAGGTGAACGGATGAATGTAAATAATTTTGAGTTTACTTCTAAGAATATTATAACTTTAATTATTTGCAAGTTAATGCTTCGTTTAAATATATCATCTCAAAATAATGTATAAAATTTTTTAATTACATTTTGTTATGATTCTCACAAGATGCAACTAATGAATTACAAAAACGCTTTACAATAATAAATAAAATTGATAATAAAATGGCTACTAGTAAAAAAAACCTATAATGTGTAATAATTCATTTTCTATGGATCATAGTATAAATTATTGGAGTTATTAATTAAATTAACACCCTTTAATTTCTCTTTGCTAATAAGGAAGAAAGTTAATTTGATGAGAATTTATTAATGGAATAATATAAAAATCAAAGTTTAGACTAACATTACATTATAAATTAATTATAGGCTATAAAAGGTCAAATGTTTGTGACTCAAATTACGAGAATAAAGTGGAAATACTGAAACAGTATAAGAATTTGTAGAATTTGTTTGAATATTCTGTTGGATGAAATGTTAAAAAATATAAAAAAAAGAGTAATATTAATTACTCACACTATCACAGCAAATCCTTTAATTTATATATTGACTGTTAAAATAATCCAAAATTTAAACATTAATAATGCACAAAATTGTAATACTGGGCATTATTTTAAGAACTTCACGTTGAGAAAAGTAATCCGAAGCATATACAAACCCCTTAAATGAGACGGTCTAATCTTAGAAAGCGACATAAAGAGAGCAAGAGCGAGATGAATATCGCGAGTCTCATCTTTTTCTCTTTTTTAAGGTCAATAACGGATGAAAGCTAGAAGCACCAGTAACAGAAAGAGTGCACAGATACGACTGCTTCTTAGGTAAAAAGAAAGTCAAATGAAAAAGAAAGGAAAAATAAAGCGAGTCATCGAAACCTCTTGGTCCCGTTCCAAATAGGACATTATTCGGGTTTTTCTATATATTCTTACTATCCTCTACATTCTTAAGAAATATAAATGAAACTATAACAGAAAGGTATGTACTAAGAGATAAATGAGTGGTATTGAAGGAAAGTTATCTAAAACATTATTGTAAACTTTTGAACAGTG